TTTTGACAACTGTGTCCATTTGCAGCAGCACCTGCCTCTTCTCACCCCAGGTGCAGCCCCTCACCTTGCTGGGCACTGCTGGGGCAAGACAGGGGCAGGTGACAGTGTCCAGCACCACTGCCCTGTTCCTTCAGGTACTGTCCTGTGGAAAATAGATGGGTTTTTTAAAATAAAATGAGAATGCATTTTCTGTGTCCATTTCAGTGGCTGGGACATCACCTCAGTCACAGGATGCAGGGGGAGGAGGACAGACACTCCACACCAGCACTGGGGCCATGGTGGCTGCCCACGCTCGTGGTGTTGGACACCGCAGTGCCGTGAGTCCAGATGGGGCAGCCACCTGCCCAGGGGTCTGGGGTGGATGTGGAGGGCACCAGGAGGGCTGCACTGCCCATTGCTGGCTGCCCCCCTGCGTGCCCCTGTCTGTCCTGTTGCCGGAGGGCAGCAAGGACCTGTGGCCCCCTTCTCCTCACCCACTGCTGGAATGTGTGCTCTGGGCACCCCAGGGCTGCTCAGTGCAGGGGAAAAACATTCCCCTAGGGCTTGTGGGGGCCTCACCAATCTGGGAATACCTGGTGTGTGCTGGGGGAGCCCTCACGGGAGCAGCAGCGTGAGCGAGGGATGGAGCACCAGCGATGGCAGGGCTTAGCTGATTAGCCTTATTAATAGACATTAAACCCTGGCTGGGAGTGGGGCCAGGCCCCCGCCACCCCCCTGCTGCTGAGGGGCTCCAGGGCTTTACAGCCCAGGCCTTGTCCTCCCCAAAAGCCCACCTGGGCTGAGCCCCAGCCCCCTCCCTGGAAGTAAAAGGGTTCCCCCACAAACAGCCAGAGACTGGCTGGTCCCAGTGCCTGCCAGCCCTCCTCTTGTGAGCCAGCCCCTGGGGAGGCTGGTTTTGAGGGGGGTTCTTGAGCTGCCCTGGGTGGGCAGGATCTGGCAGTTTGAGCCATGGCTGGCAGTGATTCCTTGGCTGCTCCACCTTGTCTCACTTCTCTGCTGGGCACATGCCCTGCAAAACCCCACCACTGCTTCTCCATCGTGGCTGGCAGCTGAGGAAGCTTCAAAAGCAGCTGCTTTACCTGTTGGGTACCTTACTAAACCATGGGCACATGGTCTCCTCCTCCACTGCCTCCCACCCCTGCACCCTCCACCCCGCTTCTTCCTCTCTTGGTCCCTCTGACTGAATCCATCCCTGCCAGCCTGCCCTGCCCTGCTGGGGAAAATGCAAGGAGCCCCTGGGCAGCGGGATTACCGGGGGATTCGGGCTGTGGCAGGCAGCCACCTCATCCCCATTGGCTGGAAAAGCCTCTTAAAAGTGGAGAAGTGCTTTCTGCCCGCTCAGCACCCACTAGTCTCTGCCGACCTGAAGCCATAAGCAGCTCCTGACCCACATCCACACTGGGGGTGCCGTGGGACACTGCTCGCACCCACAGGAGGCAAGGGAGTGCCCCACACAGGGTGTGCCCCCAGATCTGCCACAGACAGCTCTGCTGGGCACCACTGGAACTGGAGGGAAGCAGGCTGAGAGGGGGATTAGCTGTCTTGTGAGGACGTAGCTGCTCCAAAGGAAGGAACGGAGCACAAGAGACTGCTCGACAGGTGCTAGATTCCTGCAGGCATTGTCCTGTGCCCACCATGGAGAAAAGATCCAGCAGGACCTTCTAACCAGGCACCCTCATCCAGAGCCGGGAAGTGCCAGCCAGCAGGAGAAGGAAGTGCTGCTGAGGGATCTGCTCAACCCCTGGGGGCTCAGCTTGTGCTCGGAGGCCATCGCTGCATTGCACAGGTCAGTGCTGTGGAGGGATGCTGGCACCCTCGCTCCAGCAGCCAAGAGGAACAACTCACCCCAGGCCTGCATTCATTTTATTCTCTAAAAATGCTTTCCTGGGGGTTGTCTGTGGGTTGGAGAGGCTGGTGGCATGAACTGTGGGCCTAGCACTCAATAAATAGACTCCCCACCCTATCTGTACTGCATGGAGGCACTAAGAGCATTTATGCGGACCCTCCTGGGTGCAGCTTGTCTAGCACAGTGGGGATTTTCTGGGCATTATCCAGCACTGTCTGCACTGTGCTCTGTGTGTGTCCAGGGACTGGCAGCCACAGCTGAACCTGCTGTGGTCTTCACCCTTCCAGCCTGGGCTTGTGCCTCCTGGTCAGTGCAAGTCTTCTTGCAGCCACCTGCAGCAAGTTCTGCTCTGGCCCACCTTCCTGTGATGCAAGGGGAAGGGCAGGTGCTCATGCTGATGAGCTTTTAGGTGCATGTGAACTCACAAACTGTGTTTTTACCTGTGGATAAAGCTCCTTAACTGGGGACAAAATGACAGTGAGCTGTAGAGTGTGCAAAGGCAGGAGCAGGAATGTGGTGTGACTGATGTGAGCAGAGAAGCATGTGTGCCATGGTGTTAGGAACGAGGCAGCTCTGAGCTGCCGGGCTCACAGCTGGGATAAACCTCCAGCAGAGGTGTTACAAGCTGTGCTATGGCATATTGGCCTTGGAGGCATCTCCACAGGTGAGCTCCTCTGGTGCACCCCATCATTTGCAGCCACACCTAGCTGCAGGCAGCTAAAAGTGCTTTCATGCTTTGCTGTACAGCTCTGTAGCATGGAGCAAGTGGCCCCTGCAGAGGTGCCCTCCAGCTCCAGACTCAAACAAGTATTCACAGACATTTGTCTAATGTGCTCTTCAAAATCAGATGCCATGGGCTCATCATTGACATGCAGTGCGACAAAATCTCTGAAGAGCATGTCAGAGACAGACAAATATTTTCTTGCTAGAGTGCTGGCAGGGAGCAACAAGGTTGAGGGAAAGATGGATTGCAATGGTTTGATTGATTCATTTAATTTGCAGTGCAGGATGAGCTCAAGAAAAGCAAGGCTGGAGAGGGGCTTGGACATAAATTCTCAGGCTACATTTGGTGGCAGCTCTTACTTGAAGTAGCTACGTGCAGCAGATGGTGCAGTGGTGGAGCACCAGCTCTGATTGAGAAATCAGCGTGCTTTGGCAGCTGGTCACCTTTTGTACAGCTGGACCCAGCTTGCCAGTCAGCTGGAGCTGGGACAGGAGCAGTGGGCAAAATGGCAGAAACGGAGCGAGGCATTCAGTCTGGCTGTCAGGGTGCCAGTGATCCAGAAAATACCAGTGAGGGCGAGATGGGGGAGGTATGGGTAGCTGGAGATAGTTATGGGTAGCTGGTATCATTATTCTTCTCGTCCTTGTAGGGATTCCTTGCCTTAAAAATATCTTCATAGCCCCCTGCTTTCAGTTCATTGCCTCTCTGTCTCTTGCCCTGAGTCCCTGAGACCCGGGCTGGGAGGGAGAGATTAGAGCAGCCTGTGCTGGCCCCAGTGGATCAACCCAAGAGCTGCTAGGAAACAGCCATCCAGAAGAGTTGCCCCAGTCCATGCTCAGAGCCAGATTCAGCTCCCTTTTTTCGTGGCTCACAGCATCCTGAAAGTTTGGGGAGCTCTGCTGCAGGGACCCATGGTGGAGGCAGGTACCTGAGTGCTGCACTCTGTTTTTCCCCTGGAGAGGGGAAGGAGGGCTGCAGCTGGGGGTGGCTGTGGAATAAGACCACTCTTGCCAAGTAAGGGCCCTCTGCCTGGGGTCTGCCCCAGCTTGTGCCATCCACACTTTTGTCTAAAGGATTTGCACTTCTCTGACATCCAGAGCAATAGCAACTATGGGAATCAGCTCAACTCACCCCCTTTGCATGGAGGACACCAAGAACAGGGACTTCCTTGAGAAATGCACCCAGATCCAGAGATCACGGGTTGTAGCTATGTGTGTCACATCCATAAGACAGTCCCTGTCCCCTCAGCACTCTCTAGTCCATTTGTGACTCCTGGCATTTCCCACAATTGCTGGTGCCAAGGGATGAGGACGCTGATGCCATCTTGCAGCCCTTCAGCCAGGAGCGCTGGGCAGGAGAGAGGACCCTTGCCAGGAGTGTGCTGCCACCAGACAGTGATAGGAGACAAACCAGACCAAAAAAGCCCAGCTCAGGCATGCAGAATGCCTGTCTAATCTACTTGGGAGCATCTGTAGCATAAGTCCAGTGATGGCTTTGCATGCAGGTGTGGAAATAATCCTGGCTGACAAAGAAACTGTGGCCAATGGTGCTGGAAGGGGCAGAATCCTGGTACCTAAGGGAGAAAAGAAAAACATACCCACAGCAGTCAGCTGGAGCAAAATTCCTGGGCAGCTTAAGAGCCCTGAGAGCAACTCACAAGACATCCCCTTTAATTCCCTCCTTCTCCCCACTTATGCTTTGTTCCGGCCCTTCTGTGTACATACAGAGCCCTAATCTCTCTGGCATGCAAATAACCACCGGGTTTTTGTGCTCTCCCCCTTCACCTATTTCGGAAATCTGGCCCCTGAGGGTGGGGAGGGGAGGGAGGAGAGTGCCATGCACTGGGGCCTCCCAGAGGGAAGAACAGAGGGCTTAATGGATCTCCTTGCTTCACTGCTGGAGGTTTCTGTGGCAGGGCAGGTCCTGGAGGACTCCCCACTGGAACAGACCAGCATGGGAGAGGCTCAAAGGCAGATTTAAGGAAGCAAAAAGGGTTCACATTGCTGGTCTTTGTCTTGTCCCATCTGTAGGCAAGGCTGGATATGAAGCAAGGGGGGTGCTGCAGATCCTGATGCTGCATCAGATGGATCTCCAGGCTCAGCTGGGAGCTGTGACAATGCTTGCATATGTTTGGCCAGGGGTTATGGAGCTCTGGGCTGCCCCAGTCTCAGGGGGAGCTTCCCACCTCTGCCCAGCTGAGGCATGACCTCACACCCCAAAGCAATGTCACCTCACCTGGCAGGATCAGGGTACAAAGAGCAGATGTGGCCCCTGATGAGCCTCTCAGAGCCTGGAGATAGTGGGCATGGAGAGAAATCTTGTAGTAAATGTTTGCTCCTCTGCTCTTCTCTTCTTGCAGTGCCAGCAGACTTTCTCTCTCTGTGTTGCGCTACTTCCTCCCAGCCTGCCTTTCCATTCCTAGGTTAGAAGATGGGGAGACCTGACCCAGAAGAAGGGCAGCTCCCGGCTCCTGTGAAGCCCCCGGATGGTGGCTGGGGCTGGATCGTGCTCCTTGGCTGCTTTGTGATCACTGGCTTCTCCTATGCCTTCCCCAAAGCCGTCAGTGTCTACTTCAAGGAGCTCATGAAAGATTTCCACGTGGGTTACAGTGACACAGCCTGGATCTCTTCCATCATGCTGGCCATGCTCTATGGGACAGGTGATGCTTGGACACACTTCCCCCTCCTCAGCTCACACCTCTCCCACTCTGCCATGTGCCCAGACCATGTCCCCATGGACTCTCTCATGCTCACTGGCCTGGTCATGAACCACGATGCAGAATACAATTGTCCTCCCACTTCTCTTCTGGAAGTGTGCTGCATCTCATATCCCTGTTTCCTCTGCCCCAGGAGACCTCAGGGGTCACCGCACCTACATCCCAGACAACTGATACAGGGTTTGCTCCCACTGCTGAAGTGCTGTTGCTATCACACCAAGCGCCAGGGAATAGGGGTCCAAAGGCAGGGCAGAACAGAAGCCTCCACACCACCAGCCCCTCTCCCTTGGCCAGGCCCAACAGATGTGTACCTAAGCAGCCAAGTAGTGAGCTCCATCATTACAGCTTCATCCTCCCTGAGAGCCCTGCTTGGGCTGCCTGGCCCTTCCCAGCTGTCCTGTCCTCTCCTGGTCACCTCCTCTGTCTCCTCTGCTTCCTCCTAGGACCAGTATGCAGCATCATGGTGAACCAGTTTGGCTGCCGGCCCGTGATGCTCATTGGCGGGCTGCTAGCTTCCGCTGGGATGATCCTGGCATCTTTTACCACCAACATCATCGAGCTTTATCTGACAGCTGGTGTGCTGACAGGTAAGAGCCCTGAGATTTGGAGGGCAACACAGGCTTACCTGGGGAGAGCCAAAACCATGTCGTATTTCCCTTTAGCACTGCCATGTCTATCAGGTCTCCCCAGCCTATTTGCACATGCTATGGGAAGCACCTAGTCCTGAATCTTGCACCTGTGAGGGATGCATCTGCTGGATCTAAACAGCAGGGGCCTGTGGCTGAGAGACAGAAGAAACCTAGGTGGTGCTCAGTGATCGTGGTGACTGTGGTAGGCAGCATAGGCAGCATCAGTACACAGTGGCAGGGGAAAGAGGCAGAATTCATGTGTAAGGCTCAGATCCTGCCTAAGTGTGAGCACAATTACCTGATTCAAACCCACTTCAGGTGGACAGGCTGGTTTAGCCCATTGCCTGCAGGGGCTATCCACCAACATGAAGACACAGAGGCTTGTGAGGAGTACATTCATCCCATCATGGGACTTCAGGACTAGGATAGTCTAAGGGGAGTTTTCAGCTTGTTGCAAAACACATCTCATGTTCTTGCGCTCCTGGCTCTCACTTCCATGTAGGTCTGGGTATGGCACTGAACTTCCAGCCCTCACTGATCATGCTGGGCACCTACTTTGACAAGCGCCGGCCTCTGGCCAATGGACTGGCTGCTGCTGGGAGCCCTGTCTTCCTCTCCTCCCTCTCTCCTCTGGGGCAAGTGCTGCTGGAGAAGTTTGGCTGGCGAGGAGGGTTCCTTATCATGGGGGGCCTTCTGCTTAACTGCTGCACTTGTGGAGCAGTCATGAGACCCCTGGATATGGGCATGAAGAGGAAGATGGGGAAAGCTCAGGACAAATATGAAGCCAAGGAGATGCTGCCCATAGGAGGGAAGTCAGAGGAGGGAATCAGCACCACTGATGGAACCAAGAAAGGCAAGAAAGCCAAGAAGAAGCCCAAGAAAGGAAAGAAGCTTCTGGATTTTAGTATCTTCTCCAACCGAGGGTTTATCATTTACACCATTTCAAAGTTCATCCTGGTCCTGGGTCTCTTTGTGCCCCCCATACTGCTGGTCAACTATGCCAAGGACACAGGCGTCCCAGACACCGAGGCCGCATTCTTGCTCTCCATCATCGGCTTCATAGACATCTTTGCCCGCCCAGCCTGTGGCATGGTGGCAGGGCTGAAGTGGGTCCGCCCTCACGTGGCCTATCTGTTCAGCTTCTCCATGCTCTTCAACGGCTTGACAGACATCTGCAGTGCCAGGGCCAGCAACTACACGGGGCTGGTCATCTTCTGCGTCTTCTTTGGCATCTCCTACGGCATGGTGGGGGCACTGCAGTTCGAGGTGCTGATGGCCATCGTCGGCTCCCAGAAGTTCTCCAGCGCCATCGGGCTGGTCCTGCTCATCGAGGCTTTTGCCGTGCTCATCGGCCCACCCTCTGCAGGTAGGTGTCTTGCTGCAGGTGCCTCTTTTGGCCGCCACTGCTCCACTGAATTGCAGGTACTGGGCACGGACACCGCACTTGAAGAAAAACCCTATTTCTCAACTTTAAGTTTGCTCTAGAAGCTGAGAGCTGATCTCAGCCTTCACTACGAATGTTGCATAAGAATCATGTTAAGGATAGGGTCAGGCACATGCTGCAGACAAACCTTTGAGAGTCTTCATTAGGACAAAGCAAGTGTCTCTCAAATGCTCCTTGGTGTCCATGGCCTTTTGATTGGCACTATGAAAAGTGACCTCAATGTGTTCGGATCCCAATTCCAAGGCACAGGTGTTTTGCTGTCAGTCAAGTCAAAACAGTTTGCACAGGCCCCTGAGGCATTTGCTGGTAATTTTTCTAAGAGGATTAAGACACTCACAGCTTTTCAGCCAGTCTAGTCTAGGTCACAGCCCCTGGTAAGGTCCAGGCCCCACAAACAGCCCATAAAAACAGGCTGTTGAATGGAGGTTGGTGTAGATTAATGTTGAGTGTCTGATCACATGTGAGAAAGCCAAATCATGCCCAAGGCTCATTTCCAAACAAAGTGCAGTTTCCTGATTTGCAAGGAAGAGTCAGGGACAAGACTATGGAAAATCCCCAGGCAGGAACCACTCTGTTGTTTCTTGCACTCCCTTCCTTCAGCTGTAATACACAGGCTAAAGCCCATCATTGAAGACCTTTGTGTGAATGGTCTCTTCCTCAACACAAACCACCAGTTATGAGTAAAACCTGCCCTCAGCAACTCCAACCAGTTCTCAAGTAAAATTCGGCAGCCAAGAGAGGACCCTCCTATATGCTAACAATAATTCATGTTTCACTTTATAAGCTGTGGGGCAGTTGGCAGTCCCAAGACAGGGAGGGTCAATATGTGTTTTGGAGGCAGCTGCAGAGAGATCATTGGGGAAGAGAAGGATTTAACAGCACCTTGCCCCAAGGAGCAAGGCCCACCAGTGCAGTGCTAACACGGGAATCCCTCAGCCCTCCTGCCTCAGCTCAGCTATGCCTTGGTGCTGTGAGCATGTACAGTGGCACACAGACAGTGCAGGGTCACTGAAGAACCGTGCTGGGGGCAGCCAGGCCGTGTTGGGGGCTGTAGGACCCCCCTGGCACAGGAAGCCCAAGCACTCTGACAATCCTGATGGCTCGGACTCGGGGAGAACAGCGCTCAGCTGGGAGAAGGGGGGTGAACAAAGTGGCTTTGTTCGGTGTAATCCTCCTGAGCTGCTTCCCGCTCCGTGGGGCCGAGGGCGTTTGGCACAGGATAAGCTGCACTCACACACGCACACGCACGCGCGCTGGGGCTCCTCGCTCGCCATCCGGCTTGGCTGAACAGGGCCACATTCACCTGCCCAGGAATGCACCACGTGCCTCCCATGACTGCTCCGGGAGGCACCTCAGCGTGTCCTGGGGCTGGTTTCTGTAGCACAGCAGCGACTGGGGTCACATGTGCATTCGGGAGCAGGTGAGACCGGGATGGAGAGCGCAGTTCCACGGCTGCATCCTGACAGCAGCAAGGCAGCTGTTTGTGCTCCCCAAGGACTGGGACCTCTTCCTCCATTGCTAGCCCCAGTGGTTACAGAAAATATATTGAGAATATCTCTGGCACAGAAATCATCAGGTGTGGGCCAACCAGAGGGATTTGTCTGCCAAAGAGAAATTTGTTCTTCCCTTCAGAATGTTTTCCTGATATAATAGCTTAAGAAATAGCAATGAGAAAAAATTTGTTCTTCCCTTCAGAATGTTTTCCTGACATAATAGTTTAAGAAATAGCAATGCCTCTCAAACTTTCTTTTCTGAGACTGGCCAATCCAAATCGTGAGAGGCTTTTCCCACTTTGGCAAGTAGAAAAAATGGCCCACCAAGAAAGACTAACAATTTTTTAAGCTTGTCCAAACAAGGGAAAACACCAACCATGTACTGTTACCATACTTTCCCTGGAAGTACAGTGTGGCTGTTTCCCAGGGTGATTTTTAGATATTCAGGCTTCTTGCTGCTCCCTTGAGGAATGGGTCCTCAGCCACATGCAGGTGCTGCCCGCTGCACTGGGCTGTCCATGCAGGAGTACGTAGGCTGAATTTAACCATCTCATGTCTTCTCCAACCATCTCACGTCTTCTCCAACCATCAGGCCGCCTGGTCGATGCTCTCAAGAACTATGAGGTGATCTTCTACCTGGCGGGCTCAGAGGTCGTGCTCTCCGCCCTCTTCCTGGGTGTGGCCAGCTACTGCTGCCTGAACCGAGGGAAGAAGGAGCCTCCCCCCGAGAACAACCCCACTGCGGGAGCGGGGAGCGACACCGAGGAAGCGGAGTCCGACGTGCAGGAAGCCGAGGAGCACAGCAGCGACAACCACCAGCCGGCCCACAGCACCGACAGCGCCGTGGTGGTGGCCAGCGAGGAGGCCAACCATGTGGCAGAGGAGCAGCGAGGGGAGGGAGGCGGCTGTCCCGCCGGGGACGGGGAGGTGCTGGCACGGGACGGCTGCAACGCTGACCAGATGGTGGAGAGGGACAGTTTCTAGCCAGGGCAGAGAACAGGGATGTATAAAACTGGCCTTGTGTGCAAGCACCTCAGCATGGGAGAGTAGGTGGGATGCGGGGAGCAGAAAGTTGGGACAAAGGCAGATGTAAGAAATAAGAGGGAGAGGTACAAGAATAGCAGGTCCCTATGTACATATGTCCACAGCCTACCCAGTGATACGTCTGCTTGCATCCTGCACCCATGCTGGTACAACACAGGCTCAGAGCAGCCCAAACACCAAAAAGAAAAAATAATAATCTTCTTTCCTCACTTTCAAACCAGCCCTGGAGAAAGTCTTCTTAAGAGGCTGCCAAGGACTCTCCTTTTCCTTCTGCATTGTCACGACACCGAACACAAACAATTAGAGACTCTTTGTAATCAGATCTGGTATGCTCTGTTCTGGTGTCAGTGTTTCCTTCACCCCACTTCCCTGTCTGGACAGTGTCAGTCTCACTGGCAGCACGTTTAGGAGGTCCAGGGGCACCAGCGTGGGGGTAGACACCAGGCTCTCTGCAACACCTCCCTCGGGCACTGCCGAACCAGGAGACCACCAGCTCCAAGCACCTCTGCCTGGCACATCTTTTGTGGACGGTAAAGCTGGGGCAGTGACACCTGATGCTGCTTCCCCAAGTAGGGAAGCGCTGCCTCAGAGGCTGCTGCTGAGGTACAAGAGGAAGACACCTAAGAAAGGCTAATGCCATTAGGTGTGCAGCTGCAGCACGGAGCCTCGCTGACAGGAATAGCACCAAGCCAGCTTTATCTAGGCTCAAGAGAGCCCCGTTGACGTGTGAAGGGAACAACTTGGCCCCTGTGGGGGCGGGGGTTTCAAGGCAGGTAAATAACCGTGTCCCAAGCGATTATCCACTGAGCAGGAATGGCACCAGACGTGCCTGTGTTTTCCTCTTAAATAGAGAAAACCTCCTTACATAAAGGAATCAAAGGTAAGGCAGAAGGACAAGCCCCAGTCCCCAAGTGCCGCTAACGAGGGTGTTGGAGCACGTGGTAAAGCAGGCATGACCCCCTCACCCCCTGCTGCAGTAGTGGATTTCTAGATTCAGAGAGGACAACCTTCCCTGGCATGCTTAAAGCACTTCTAATCTGCTTTAGGACTGGATCTTTTATAAACACCCCTGGCCAAAGCTCTTTCTTCCGGTTTCCTGAACTGCTTCACCTCAGAGACCCTGGGGGAACCTGTGACTATAACAGGGGATCAAAAACTAAGCAGAGGGCTACAGGGAAGGCAGCTGGTTGGGCCACCAAAAGTTATGTTTCATTCCAGACCAGACTGACTACAAATTAACGGGTAGTTGGCAGGATCCATAAAGCCATTTAAACACAGCAGGGGAATGGGGACATGAAGGAAAGGGTTTCATTCTAGGTGCTCCCAAACAAAAAACAGCAGCAAATGATGAGCAAAATAAAGCTGTTGAAGAATATCAGTTTAAGAAGAGACAGAAGAACTGGAGATTGGAGGGGAGAAGGTAAACCCCATGAGGCTGTACTCTGTCCCACCATAGCTAACACCACTGTTAGATCTCATATTGAGCTATTCACAGTGGTGACTTTGGGCTTTTTCCTACTCAAACTCACTTAGAAATATCCCAAACAAGACTAAACCCCATACCAAACCCCAGATGCAAAGCTCTGGGAGAATGAGAGCAGCAGCAAGGGTGCTGGCGCCCTGCAGGCATTCACCCAGTGCTCTCAAAGCTTGTTTTCCCTTTCCAACAAGGAAAGATCGCTGTTTCTGCTCAACCAAGCTGCTCTGCAGTTCTTTCCCCAGTAACCCCAGGCTGGGTTTCCCTTATTCACTAGTATGCCCTCCAAGGAGCTCACAGCTTCCCAGAGGTCCAAGGTCCACAGCATGAAAACAACTGCCCTTGTCAGCCAGGCCAGTCACTAGAACAAGGTCCCCTCTGTTTCCTTGTCACAAGCCAACATTTCCCACTAAGCCTCCCACTCTTAAATTATTTTCACAAAAGCAAATAAAAGCCCTCAGGGTACGAGGTCTCACTACAGACAGTGCTGCAAGATTCCCAGACCTCTTCCTAAAAAACCCAGCTATGCTGCTTTACACTTGGTTTCAATGGCTTTTAGGCAGACTCCCCTGAAGCATTTTCAGTTCCCCCCCAACTGCTTCGTGTTTTGGCCAACAAACAACTCTGAAAGAGGATCAGGGACTTAAGCATCAGCTGAAGCTTGTGATGCAACAGCTGAGCTGTGTGAAGAAGCTGGCCTGGAGAGGGACAGGGATGCCACCTTGGCAGGACTAAAGCACCTGGGGGCCTTTAAAATGCTGGTGCTCCCCTGGGAAGCTAAAATGCAGAGCAGCTGGTGTTCCTGGAGGACTGGCCTTGCTACAGCATTTATAACTCTCTTCCTCTGGAAATCTGCACTGCACTGACCACCACAGGTTGCTATAGAGATTATGCACCAGTACAAGACAAAAATGGCTAGTACATGACACCCATCTTCCCAAGATTATACCTTAAGATTAAAACCAATGGAAGATAAGCAAAAAAACCTTTCATAGAAAGGCATGAAGGACATGAAATTAAATGTCACATATTTCTTTATTACAGACAATAGTCACTACACCAGTCTGTTTAAATTCTCCAGAGCAGCTTGACCATGGATGGTTTTTTTCCAGCCACCCACAGAGATGAAGAAGCTCCAAAAACAATCAAAGAGAAACACAAATCTAAAAAAAAGAAAAATCTTGATCATAAATTAATGCACTTAAATAACTTCTCCCATGACTACTAGAATGTAATAACAGAGAAGTCAAAACCCCTGCCCAAGAATACCACCACTCCTGGCAGTTGTGCAGCCCATTAACAGATGAAGTGCCATCTGCATCTGGGATTGGCCCACAGGGATGGAGGGAGGGGAAGAGAAAAGGAAGGAGGAAAGAAGCACTCTCACTTACCTCAGCTTTCCTTTCCCCCCTTCCCTTGTGCTAGGGAATGGGAGGATAGCTACTGCTGCTGGCTGGCCCAGAGGCAGCACAAAATAGCTGTGCAGAGAGGAGAGCACACTAGTCATTCTTTATACTAAAAAAACCCAAAGCCTCTTCCTCTCTCCACAAGGGCTTGTGTCTCCTTTCTATTTTAAAGATAGGGTATTTCCATCACAGTCCTAAGGTGGATCCTCAGAAGGAGCTTGAAGACAGCTAGCAGCGATGCCAACACTTCCCCATAGCACAAGGGGAGGATGGAAAGGGGCTGCCCTCACCATTTGTAATCACCTCCAAACCCTTAACTGGCTTCCATGTGTCACAGAGGAGTGGTGCTGCCCCCGTGCTCAGCAGAGTCCTGCCTGCACAGGGGCACATGGCGGTGTAGGAGTGGCTTTTCCTCCCCACACTGCAGTACCCAGGCTGGGTACCAGAAGTCTCCAGGGGCAAAAAGAATTATCCAGGCAAACAAGCAAAAGAAAAGAGACGAAAGCAGAGGCTGGTCCCAATCCAACCAGCTACCCCACCCAGACCAGAGAAGGAATCCCAGGGTGGATACACAGAGAAATGGTGGAGGATGAATGGCCACGTGAAATACATGTTTTCATAAGTCTGCAGAGTCCTCCCTCTGGCCATGCTGACACACTCAGGCATCATCAATGAGCTTCTCTCCATTTGCATCCTCCCTCCCGCTACCCTCTCTCTCGCTTTCGCCTTCTTCCTCCGCCCCATCTGTGTAGGTATCCTTCTGCCCATAGCTGAGAGTGGTGCGGGCGAGGTCCACCTCGATGGGAAAGACATCTGCATCCCGGAGCACGGCGTAGCAGTCGTCGTAGTACTTGGACATCGTGGAGACAAAACGCTGGAGCTGGAACACGATGTCCTGAACTGCAGTGGAGACATGTTGGGGGGAAAAAGTGTAAAAACTTCCTTTCCAAACAGTGTGAAGGCTGTGATCAAGCTTCCCTTACCAGTGTTAGATACCATCACCTACACATTTTGCCCCTCAGAGCTGATGTCTCGGGTACAGCCACAAAGGAGCTCTTCAGCAAAGAAGAACTGAGCTGTCTTCTGAGCTGAGACAGAGGAGGAACAGAGAGGCCAAAGTCATGTCTGCTGAACTCAGCAGTGGCACTCACCATGTTTCTGGTCCAGGAGCTCTATTTTCTCCAGCACGTCCTTCCTCATCTTGGCAAAGCGCGTGCGAGCCTCCTGACGGCAGCGCAGGATGAGGCGGTACTCGTAGTTCCCAGTGCTGACCCGGTAGAGAGGCTCACCCAGAGCCTGCCAAAAACACAGTGCCATGTTAGAGACTCCCACAGCAGTGCTTGCCTACCAGAGTGGACTCACAATGGCCTTGGGTTATTACGGACCTCTCAGGCACATGGGAACTGCTGTCAGGAAGCAGGAGGAACACTGAGCCGTGTCAAAAACTGGCAGTCAGTGGGGCCACTTTGAAGGCCAAACACACCAACCATGGTAAAGCATCACTACTAAGCAAATACAAAAAGACAGGCACCTTTCAGCCCAGCATGGAGAGGTGACATGGCTTCTTACCTGGACTAGCAAGACAGGCATTAAGAACAAGTTTATATGAAGCACACAAAAATTCTGCCCTCCTCTGTAAGGTTTTCCCTGTATGGATTGCATAATGAATTACATATCTACAAAGGGAACCCTCTGGTATCTACAACCATCCAGACAAAATACTGGAAACCAACCGGGAGGGACCTATACATTGTCCTGCAAAAGTCTGGAAAGGGGTTAGCTTTGTCAGCAATGAAGCATCCTTCCCTTGCACCTATGAACACAACATACAGAAAAATCTGTGCTACAGACTACGGCTCCCTAACACACACTGCGTGTGCCAAACCCAAAGGTGCCACTTTGCTGGGCAAGACTGGGATTCTTTCCTTCCCATTTAGAAGGAAATGTATAATGAAAGATTGTGTTAGGAGTTTGATTCCTGCTTGGCACTTGGGAATTAGACATTCCAAGAAATCAAATGTCTGCTCTGAGGTTGATACCGAGGATAAAAAAAGATGTTACTCTTATGCAGGGAAACTGGAATTTATGGGATACCTTTAGCTATTTTAAACAGAGCTGTTAAGGATTAAAATCCTAAAACTCTAAACTATAAACCCCCTATTGTTAACAGATATCCTTTAATCAATTTCCTTCACTTATAAATGCAGCTTCACATGCATTTTGCTACAGAGAAGCTAAATCTCCATTTCTAAGAAACAAGTCTTAATGATAAGCTGTACACTACACACAAATGGAATCTGTGAAGATAACACCTTAATCCTCCTTACATAACCTAATAGTACTTAAACACTGAGAAAGGCAACCACTGAGCAAACAAGCTGCAGTGCTCCCCAGGTAGTATTTAAGGATCCCCTATTTCTAATACATTAAGAATAAATGTATGTAATTCCTTAGGATGCATTCACTGGTTTGGGTGCTGACAGGCACAGGAGTGCTTTTGCAATTGTACTGATACTCACAATGCAGCTGTACTCTTCATCATCCATCTCTTTGACTTTCAGGCAGTAAGACTTTGCAGAATTAAAGATTAAAAAAAAAAAAAGCAAAACAAGAAGGAACTATTAAAAATTAGAAACAACTTTATCATCACCCATACCCATGAGGTTGCACCATTCCAAGCCTTTTTTCAGTGGACAGACTCTGAAGAAAGCACAGTGGGAAAAAATCCTGTGTTCATCTACTCTTTGGGAAAAGACAGTACAAGAGAAGTATGAGTTGGGAATAAATAAGAAGGAAAACAAAAATATTAATTGGAGGGAGGATTGATGTAGGAAGAGATTCTACCATATTCCCTTGCCTTAGGGCTGCAGCTCCAAGTACTACTCTCAACAGGCAAAAGGAAATAGATTCCTACAATTAGAGAACAGGTGAACTGAGCAATCTTACCCTTTTTGGGTAGAAAATGAAGGCTGAATGGAATGAAGGAGGTAAAAAAAGGCAAGGTCTAAATTAGAGCAAATATGACTTGACAGTTGTTTACTTTGGCTAAAGAAAGAGTGTCCAAAATTACATGAAAAATATGTAAGGGGGTGCTCTTTAGAGGAGTTCAAGAGTCTAAGTTGCAGAGAAACTCTTTAGAAATAAATCAGGAAATAATTCTGATCATATAGGAAATAAGTCATATGGGTACTGTAAGATCCTTCTTACCAGTGAGAAGTGTTAAGTTAAAAGCAAGTATCTGAATCTGAGTAATCTGTCAGTAAACAAAGAACTAGAAAAAACAGGGCATTCTCTCATGGATTATGGAAGGATGGATATGTGATCATATAGGCTAGATGTGACTTTCAGGATGATTCTAGGAAACTTAATTTCGACCAACACTTAGAAAAAAAAAAAAAGCAGCTCACCAAATATTCAAACTTGACATCCAGGTATTTTTTGATAGTCAGTCTTGTGTCAGGAATGGCTTTATTCAGATAGGTATTCAAGTCAGTCAGCATCTGCAACGGAAACACCCTCTTGCTGAATTAAGACTAAAAAACATGACTACAAATCAAGTGCAACCTTTTCCACAGCACAGGCCATGAGGATGCCTCAAAACTCTTCTTTGAACTCCAGCACATTTGAAAGAAAATGTTTTATCATGGCTCAGAATGGTTAGAGCCTCCTCTACTGTCACTAGCAAGTGGTTCCAGTGCTAGAAATGCTTGCCTCACCTATAGCATGGATTCATCTGCTTTTGACTCATTTTATTTTCAGCTGGTTCTGGAAACAGCTCTCCCTGATTCAACGTTTTATGGCCCAGCATGATCTATCCAACACAGCACTGAAAGTGGTGCCCAAATCAACACTTAAATTCTCTCTTTGCTAAACTAAGTGCAGAGATCCCCTGGAGACTCTCACTCTTATATAATGACTGAAATTCTTACATTGTTCCTGGGTTGCTTGTCTGAACTCTTTTAGTGACACAATGCAGTTATGGGTACCAATATCAGATACTACACTGGTCAGTGAGACAACTCCTTCATTCCCAAAAGAGAAGGAGAGGAATATACCCATATGCAGAAATCACAGGGACAAGGTTGATATATTCATTATGTTACCTCTCAGGTTCTTTTCATTACGAAGAGAATTCCCTGAAGGAAAGCAGACAAGGATCCTTCTTCCCTTAATGAATGAACTTTTAAGACCACACCTTTAAAGACAGTTTCTGCCTTTCTAGATTCCCCTCTCCTCCAAACCCTTTACTCCTATGGTTAAATTTGTTACCGGCTTAATTGTTTTCAGAAGGTGAATCCCAAACTTCTCAATGTTGCGATGGGCATCAGCAAATTTCACAAAGGCTTCACTGGCAGCTGGTTGTGGTTCCCGTACACCAATGACAGAGAAAACATCTCCAAATGCTGCATGAGCAGAATAAATACAGACAGATGAATAAAGAGGTGAACCCTGAGAAAAATCTTGTCTCCAGTATTAGAAGTCTCTCCCATAACCTTACAATTAGCTGGGGGATGATGTTACAGGTGGGAAATAGTAAAGGTAAGCTACATATTCCCTGAAGACCAGAGTTTGGCAGGGCATTTCCCCAATGTCTCATGTGAAGGACAGGGCCTGTGTTAGCACTATGACTGGTAATACAGGAGAGCAGCCCTCCACAGCTCATTTCTGCAACCCTTGTCTTTTTTTTTTTTGAGTGAGAGAATCACATATCTAAGTACTGACAAAAACTCCTGAAACTGAAAGTCAAAGATTTGTGCTCCCTTTGCTAAGATTCTTTACCTCTGTGTGTCTGAGATAGCTCAAAGAAAGCCCTGAGAAGACTCTTGGTGTGCTCTGTCAAGCCTGTGATGGAAGCCAGAAAAAACATTTAAGTTACTTCACTGAAACACAATGAAAGTATCCTTCTCTCCCATCTGCTGTCTGATGGAACACCAAGTTTACCTTTGTATAACTCTGCAGTCCTCTCCAGCTCCTCTAATCTCTTCACTAGTCCATCTAAATAGAAACAAGAATCAGAATAAAGAATTATAACAGTCACATTCAGGACATGTTTAGGACCTGATCTTAAACATGTGGATATGACATATATGAAACTGGTGGAAAAATACCAGTTTCATATATTTGGTTCAAATTTCCCTCGCCCCTTAATGCCTGTCCTGTGATACAATAGGGGAAGCTTTTAAAATGACTGCAAACTTATTTTATAGTGTGGGGTCATCATCTATTGCCATTCACTAAGATGGTCCCTGCTTTAAATTAATCTGACCTGAGATAACATTTAAGTGGCCACAGGGACAGGCTGTATCACTCAGGAAGGGCAGAGACAATCACAACAGCAAGGCAGAGCAGAAGAAAAGAATGTGGACCATGCAAACAACAATAAAAAGCAAGCAAACACAGGAGAGTAAGCATTCCATTAGGAAAATGTCCTCCTGGAACAATACCTACCATTGCAAAGTATGGCTCGGCTTAACCCCAGGGCATCTGCTGTCCCCGAGCTCATGTTCTCCACCAGCCGGTGCTTTACCTTCTTCAATACTAAAGGCCAAAACAAAGTGACAAACCAGCATCAGGGTCACTTCCATGGGCAAGAAAAGCTCCCCAGCACATTCCACTGGTTTTCCAGGCACTGGATAAACTGCACAACTCAGTATTGAGGCAGCAAGAAGAAAGAATACTGCAGAAACAGGGTACTCTGGTCCAGCCATGCCTAACACGTTTTCTAACTTGCCTATCTGCCCTGCTCTCACATCCTAAATACTTCAATCATAAGAGCTCCAGCAATTCTTTTGGAAGATTTTCCCAGTCAATCACTCTGCTATAAGCAAAGCACTTATCTTGATATTTGGAACTAAACTTTGCTTATGCTATCTGCTGTATTACTTCAGCTGAAGTAATGAGGCTGAATGACAATCAAGACTTAATGCTCAGTGCTGTCTCTTTCCTTACTTTTACCTTTTGAATCCTAATTAAACCCTTTTGCCAGCTTTTAATGGAATTTCTGCCATTGGTGGTCATAGCCTACAAATTACTAGAGACATCTATGCCCTCCTTGGAACCAGATGACTCAGTCACCTTTATTTACAGGCAGACTTGCCTGCAGATCCCAAGAACTCAGCTGAAGCCACAGTGTTCTGGAAAATACCATATTCTCATCACACTTCTGTTTTCCCAGAAATCCATCTCACTATTCACAATTTCCCAGAATTCCTGTCAATTTATTAGCACCATAATCACCAGGAAAATAAATGAGAGCAAAGAGAATGGATACATTTTGCTGAAAGTGAGAAAGGCAGATCACATAAAGGAGACAGCTGTGTAGGCTTAGTTCAAAACCAGACACTTTGTTTTAGCAATAAAGGCTCTCCTGTCTCTCATAAAATTTATGTTTGTACAAAACTCAGTGTAGATAGGTATTTCATCACTGTTCTCCATGGTTAGAAATCCCCACCAATGCCTTTCAATTGACACATTTCTGTGTACATCTCAAAATAGGTCAGCCTAACTTACATGTATTAAAAATAGATTAATTAAATTATCATGCAGTTGAGATTCATCATCCATACTAAACACAGCACAGAAAAACAAGCCTCCCACAACTACAATTAAGTCTTGATTTAACTTTCAAGCCTATTTCAAAATGTCAGGGAAGGATTTTTTTTAAACCTGTAACTCTCTTTGATAGCATCCATTTGAAAACAACTGAGTTAAGAGCAAGAAAGGAAACAGATTTGGTTTTAGCTGGGACCAATCTTTCACCCTCCTGCATCATTTTAACACTCTAGGGAGAAAGAAACCAGTCTTACCAATATCCAAAGACTTGCCCTGCTTTGGGTCAGCCTGAAGTTTGTTGTAGTGTATTGTCACTTCTCCCTGCAGAGAGAGCAAACCCCAAACTGCTGTGCTGGAAGCAGGCAGCAGCAGCAGCTCCCTTTACCCAAGGACAATAAGCTGTCAACTACAACCCAGAAGCTCCAGTGGCCCCCTCCTACCTCTCACCTTTACCATCTGTATCATCTTGGCCACCTCCACTTTGGTCTTCCCTTTGACGGATTTCCCGTTGACCCCGGTGATTTCATCCCCGGCTGCGACGGTGCCGTCCAAGGCTGCGGGAGTGTTATCGAACACCTAGGGCAGAGACAGGCACCTGCAGTCACGAGAGGGGCAGGGCAGAGCTGGAGAGCACACGCCAAACAGCTGCACTCCTCCTTCTTAATCCACTTCTGCTCTGTCCACGGTGAAGCTGCAGTTTTCCCCCTTTCCAAACCAAGAGGTGGGCTGACCATCTTGTTCTCTCAGGAAGTTCTTGCCCCTAGGATGTGCCTCCTCAAGCACAGGATTTCCTGGTGTTGGAGTGTCACACTGCTCCCCTGTGAATTCTAACATGCTCTCCAAGGAGAAGGATAATTCCAGCAGTCTTAATTTAATTCTTCCACACCTACTAGGTACTAGAGTAAGGAAATCTTTTCACGGGAAAGTGAGATGTCATCTCCCACTTTGAGAAAAACAAACAGCATAGCGCTGTCTTTCCACACTTCCCATCTCTCAGGCCAACTCTGTTTTAAAAAGACGGCTTATTTTTCCTCCCCAGGTGCCCACCTGGACGATGTAGAGGCAGGGGCAGTACTGTGCTCCTCCTCCAATGCTGATCCCAATCAGGTTCTGAGAGTCCTTCTTCAGGGTCACTGTCCCAGGTACAGTGGGGATGCCCCTACAAAGAGAAAATAACTGAATGTAGGCAGAGCTGCCTGCATATGAAACAACTCTGGTATCTGAGTCAGTAATGGAAAACATCATGGGCACTGCACGTCTGAATTCATTCCCTCATCTCCTCACCTCTGCCACAAGGTCTATCAGCATGGGCGAGCAGGGAGACCTTCTGTGCCATCTTTTTCTTGGGATTGCATGCAAGGATTAGAGGTGGAAGAGACACCCTCATCTATGGCTAGGCACTGAAGAAACACTATCATGCTTCAGTGTTTCACCTGGACTTAGTGCTGGGGTGAGAGGACAACTTGCACAGCATAAACGTGATGCAAATCAAGTGCTCTATGTTAAATGCAGGGCAGTCACTACAGAGCAACACAAATATTCTTCTTTGCTTGTCAGCACAGCGATGCCTCATCCCCACTCTCCAGAGGGAGCAAGAAATCAGCACTGAACAGGAAGGCTGATGCTCAGCACACAGTGTCACACACAGGTAAATTTATCAACTCTCATTAGGTCTTGGTTGCGAGGCTTACTTCTATTGTAAGAAACACCAGGAAAAGACAAATGAAATACTCACAGCTTATCTTCCTCAATATCATAGTCCAAATCTGCAAACATTGTTTTGGTTCAGTGGAGTCCGTTTGTCTGAAGCTACTTATTCCAAAATCCCTGGGAAGAAAGAACAGAATAAACCAAATAAAAGAATGATTGCAATAGAAAAAACCATAGAACCAGCCTGTCACCCTTATCAATCTCCTTTTTCTTTTTCGGGATGCCACATTGTGGTCTCTGCTCTTATATCAAAAGATGAAATATTAGTCAAGTGTCCCTGGTTCTCTGCTCTGCATGCGAGAGGATGGATCCCTCGAATTTGAATGCTGCATGTTCCAAACCCAACACTGACACACGTGCAGCGTTTCCAAAGCACAGAACAAAACGTGGTCCCTTCCCGCAGCTGCTTCCTTCCACGCTCGACCTTGCACCGCGACTGCTAAAACACTCAGTTTTATCCCCGACATCCATCACACATCTCCGTGCTCTTGACTTCACAGCAAGTCACGTCACTTTCTGACATTCCCCGCCTGCCTCGGCAGGCCGTGCTCAAGGTTCCCACCGAAAGCCTCATTATTTCCCCACGCACAAACCTCGTTTCCATTTAATTTCGGACAGCAATTAACTGGCACGTTTGGGTTCCGCCCACCCTTCGGCAGCACCCAAGGCACGGCGACGCCGTGAGGGTGGGCGCCTTCACCACACCCGACCCTGAGGGACCCGCGCTTCACCCACAGCTCAGCGGGGCCGGGCAGGTGCAGCGGTCAGGGGCTGCGGGCAGTGCCGGGCAGGGGCTGCGGGCAGGGCAAGGGTAGCAGGCAGGGGGCGAGCGCAGCCCCCACCCCAGACCCAGCCCCGGCCCCAGCCCCAGCCCCGGCCCCAGCCTGCCCGGCGGGACCGTCCGGGGGCAGCCGCCGGGGGGCGTCCCTCAGGGGCCCCCCAGGCTCACCGGAAGCGGCCGCGCGGCGCCGTCAGCCCCTGCCGGCCACGTCACCGCCGGCACCGCCCGGAAGTGCCCGCCCGAGCGCCGCCCCCCGCGCGCCCTCCGCGTTGCCATGGGGACCGGGGGAGCGGGGCCTGGTTCGGCCGGGGAAATGGCGGCTCAGGGGTGCCCTGATCGCTCTCTGCAACCCCTGAAAGGAGGCCGTAGCCACGTGGGGGTCGGCCTCTTGTCCCAGGCAACAAGAGCACATAGTCACAAGCTGCACCAAGGGAGGTTTAGGTGGGATACCAGGAGGAATTTCTTCACGGAAAGGGTGGTAGACATGGGAATGGGCTGCCCAGGGAGCTGGTGGAGTCACGGTCCCTGGAGGTGTTTAAGGAAAGGCTGGATGTGGCACTCAGTGCCTTGGTGTGGTTGACATGGTGGAGTTCGGTCACAGGTTGGACTCCATGATCTCAGAGGTCTTCCCCAACCTAATTGATTCGGTGATTCTGTGAAATTGCTTGGCACAGTCACGATCAGCAGTGACCTGAGGAAGCATCAGACGCCAGCGGATATGGGAGCCAGTCAGCACAGCTGTGTGCAAAGCCACTGCTCCGCCATGTGTGCTGCAGGATCGCCACGCTTCCACACGTTCTTCTCTGCCATGTGTGTGGGGGCAGTAGTTGGCTGTTCAAATGGTTTTCTGCCTCCATCATGACAGCACCACCACTGGGAGAATGCTTTGATTTCCCAGAGAAATGTGGTTGCCTTGTCGCATTTTGTGTCATCTTTTCCAGCTGCTCCTGGCGTCTGAGCAACTACCAGGCTTCCAAACCTGAATTACTGACACAGATCAAAAAAACCCAACCCAACATTGTGCTCTTTGAACTGAAAACTCCTCCGTGACTAGGAATGAGGGCTGGCCATGGCGATGACCTCTGCTGCTGGCTGAGAGGGTGGTTAGTGTTTGCAGTATGCAGCCTCTTGTCTGCATACATGAAAACACTGACTGAAGCCACCCACAATGCTGGACTACAAGGGGCAAGAGTGTGCTGTTAATAATCTTTTTATAGTCCTGGGTCTAAGATGTGATTTATTTATGAGGGAAAGCTGAATGAGAAATGCAGTCCTTCAGGTGGGAGCTCTCTGAAGAAAAGAGACTGACATCCTGACCCTGGCCACTGACAGGAGATTCACATCAGTGGAGCTCCAGAATTGATGGGCCAGACCCCAATCTCTGCACGGAGAGCTTGCTAGGGCTCGGCAGTGTGACAGCACCTGGCTGTGGCTGCAGGTGATACAGAGAAAATGGACCCAGACTCTTCTGAGCATTTTTGCACAGCTAAAGACAAGAGGAAGGGGTTGCGAGTTGCAGGATGGAATTACAGTGCAACAAAAGGAATAAAAATCACTGTGAGGGTGGGTAAGCAGTGTTACATCAGCCCAGAGAAGTGGTGGAATATCCATCCCTAGAGACAGTGACAATTTATCTGGACAGATTCTGTGATGCTGCGGTCCTAAGAAAGACCCTGCAACGCAAGCAAAGAGGTCACCCCGCAGAACCCTCCTGAGCCCCAAAGCTGAGAGCTGGTTAATTAAATGTCACACAGGCAGAACTCGAGCCCGCTATCCGTCCCACGCCCCGGCAGGACTGCTCCGTGCGTCCCGCGGGGCCGTGTGTCCGGCGCTGTCCCCGGGGGCTGTGCAGGGTCGGGGCCGTGTGTCCCGCACTGTCCCCGGGGGCTGTGCAGGGTCGGGGCCGTGTGTCCCGCGCTGTCCCCGGGGGCTGTGCAGGGTCGGGCCGTGTGTCCCGCACTGTCCCCGGGGGCTGTGCAGGGTCGCGGCCGTGTGTCCCGCGCTGTCCCCGCGCTGTCACCCGAGGCCAGGCAGGGTCGCCCCCGGCCGGGCTCCATTCCTAAGGGCGGAGCGCCGCCGTGTGGTCAGTGCCCGGAACTGCTGCTGCAGGAGGGGCCTGGATTCAGGGTTTGCGAAGCTGGGATATTTCTCCTGTTTTACTGCAAAGGGGAAAAAAGAGGTTTTTCACACACACAGGAGAACACCTGCATAACGTGAATCATTTGCCTGCGCCCAACGGGATTGCTTAGAGCCTTGTGCATTGGCTGGGTGTCAGACTGGCTAAAAGAAGTTGCAGGACCTCATTTCTCCTCCTCATTTCTCTAGTAGCAGACCTCCACTTCTGCTACTAGAGCTGCAAGGGAGATGAACAAGCAGTGAATGTTTCCTTTGCTGGCAGTTCCTGCCATTCAAAAGAAAGACAATAAGCAGAACTCACCCGAGGTGAAAAACTGGACCTGCTGATACTGACAAGGCCGAAGCCTGTAGGTCTGATGAGCCTTGTTTTGTGCTGCTCCAGTGAAGTGTGCGCGTCGTGCGTGTCCTTCAGTATATCCCTGAAGCATCAGCCTTTGTACACGTGTGCTGGCTGACCCTGCCTTTTGTGCACGGCTGCCCCAAAGTGTCCAAGATCGATTGGATTCCCTCTGTGTGAGATGGAGAAAGAATCTGCGTGTGCCCTAAAGCCATGTCTGTCTAATAGTAGAAATCCATTGCCTGATCGCCTCCTCCCAAAGGGAGAAGTAATTAATTGCTGATGAAAATGGTTACCTAAAATCCAAAAAAGTAAGGTTAGCCAGAATTTAAAGAAATCCCAGGAAGTTGTTTCTTTTCAAGAATAGGTCTGATTAATTTTATCAAAAATTTGAAATGCAAATTTCTCTTGAAAATTGGGCGCACTGCTTACAGTCTACCAGTACGGCTTTAATAAAGAGGGCTTAGTTTGTACATACAGAGATTTTTCTATCCAGTTACACAACCCATGAAAAGTTTGACTCTGAGAGTCAAAACTCCCTTCTGCTTGTCTTTCATCACGTGTAATAAGGAGTCTGCTAGCAGATCACACGTTGCATGACTGGTTAGCTTCTTGGCACTAAGATGTATTTCTGTGTACTGGGGCTGTGCTGAATCTCATGTTTCTGGCTGCTTTTCTGCTACTGTTTTCAGTGTCAACATGACTAACTCTGCACTAACATCCTCCTTGATTGCTGTCCCTTGAGCTGTGTTGTCTGTTTTGGGGGGAACTTTCACTGAGTGAGTGTGGGCATTGTATTCCTGCCCATCACTGCACAGCCTGCCTGCCCTATCCCTACCCCACTTCTGCTGGGTGCTGCCAACACTTGCAGCAGCCTCTATAGGGGCAGGTGGGACTGTTGGGGTGCAACAGGGGACTGCTTTCACTGGGTGTTTTCATTGTCCTTCCTCTGAAATTTCCTGCATTTAGGATTCTCCAAGGTTTATCCAGAGGGAAGTTGGGGGAAATGGACAATGCTCTGTGGCAGATGCATTTTATTTCCACGTGCACCAAACATGTTTCAGTGCCCCTGCACTTTGTTCCCACAGATTTCTTCTCCCAGACCAGGAGAAAGGTCTCAGGGGCTCAGAGGCTGTTACCTCTATGAAAGCATTACTCATAAAATCAGTACTTGAAACCTGAAAAACCTTAAAGGGAACATAAAGCTAATGGGTTTTCTGAGACCCTGCAGGTGGAAAGCGTGAGCTCTGGCTTGGCTGATCAGTTTTTATTTGCAAGGCAGCTTTTAGCCTTTCCAATCCAGGGGCATGACTACACTCTATTGCACATTCCAGAGGCACTACTGCTCTGGCAAGGTGCTATCAAAGCTATGTTGAGCTCCACAGTGGAATAGCAACAGGGCATAGGGGGGACCACATCTCATGAGCAGTGGCAGAGTGAGGGGTGGGAAACAGGCAGAGAGTTGCCCTCATTATGCATGGGTCTAACATGGCCAATTACCCCATCCTCTCCTCACCTCTGCAATGTGAAAGACTGTTGTTGAGAGTGGTCATAACTCATGGTGAACACCCTGCCTCCCCCTTACTCCTTTCACACCCACTGCTCTCCATTTTCCTTCCAGAAAAAAAATGTGTCTTTGATGAAATTAAATGGCTCAGTCAAAGAAGCCCTCAAATGGCTGGGGACCCCTGCAGTTGGCCACCCTTGCCCACTTCCCAGCTCTATTTCTGGCCGAGTTTGGAGTTTAAGTGGGCTGACCTTGTGCCCTGACTGCCCTGGGGGTCAGTGATGAAAGCGGATGGAGGCTTCACAGTCAGGTCTCTTGTGTGTGACTCTTTTGTTCCCAGGACAAGGGTGTGCAGTGCCTGGGACAGTGCTTAATTGTTTGGGGGCACTGCTTTACCCGTCATGCCCTTCCCCGGGTGGCCCCAGCCCTCTTGCTCATGCGTGGGAGGGAAGCAGCTTCCCCACTCAGGGTAAGGAGAAGGAAGCAGAGCCTGGATTGCTTGGGATAATTTCTGGCTGTTTATCAATCTGTGTCATAAATTTTGCAGAGTGCCAGAAAGCAGAAAGAGAAATAAAGTTAAAAAAAAGGATTTCCTGGCATTTTGTGACTCTTGTCTGTCACCGGATGTATCCTCCATTGTCCTTCTGTGCGGACAAGAGCAACATCACCTTGTCCCAGCCAGCTGCTGTGTCCATCCACTGTGTTCCATGGGATTCACCCCATCACTGAGACCTCCCTCTGCCCTTCTACGGGTACTTAATGAGGAAAGTCCTTTGTCAGGCCTGAGACATTTGGCTTAGTCCAAGTGGAGGCAATGGGTTCACACCAGGGAGGAAAGAAACTTTGTGTTGATCTTGTGGGTGTGCAAGTCTAGGGCTGGATATATTGAGACTTCTGGAAAGCTTTTTATTTGCAAGATCTGAGCTGGGCACCACACCTGGCACTGCCCTGAAGACATGCAGAGGTTTTCTGTAGGTGTGCTTGGGCAGGTGAAGGATGCTGGACAACCTGTGGGCATGATGATAAAGAATTGAAGGATTACAAAGCCTTGCCTGGTGGAGGTGGGTCAGCAGAGCTCAGCACAATCATGTAGGAAGCCTTGTACCACTCAATACCTCTTTGGCTGCCC